ACACACACACACACACACACACACACACACACACACACACACAGAGGTGGTGGTTCAGATTGCAGCCTCTCCTCTCGGAGCAGTGGAGCTCTAATGTTTTCCGAGGGTCTAGTCTGGGATGTAATTGTAGTATTATGTGTCATGGTTTCCACAGACATTTGGACAGGCAGCCATAATGGTGTTAGGATGAACAAATGATGAATGATGACATTTTGAGGTGTAGAAAATGGCTTGCACGCCCATTTCTGGTCTGAAATGTTTGTTTTTTGGTTTCAGATGCCTTATTCATCACCCTCTCCTGGCGCATATGGGGTGAGCATACGTCTTGATGTGTTTGCTCCTGCATGCTACTGAAATTATTGCATGTGAAAATAAAGTTAGATTGTTTTAAATATACATTTGTCAAATATATTTATATTTTATATTGCTTCTCCAAAGGGGGCATCTGGAGGAGGAGGACCTCCTGGAACTCCCATCATGCCCAGCCCTGCAGGTTAGTGCTGCCCTGACATAGGTTGTTTAAACATTACCGTAAGCTACTTTCAGACATGCACTGGACTGCAGATCCTCCATATTTTCTCTGGAGGAGGTGCATGTGTGAATGCAAATGTCTGAGTGAGAAGCTCTGCAGTTTCTTCTGACTTCCGCCTGGCCTCCTAGTATAATGTCCATAGAAATCCAGACATTGATTTGTGAACACAACAGGGAATCCCCCTCTGGATTCAGTACAAGCAAGTGGGAGGGGGATTTATGATGCTTCTAACATGTGGCAGATGCAGAAATAATGGAAAAACAAACCAAAAAGAAACCAAATCTCCCGCTGAAAAAGCGGTGACACACACCTGAAAGTTTGAGGCGATACGAGTGTGTTGTCAAGAAAATGTCCTGCCTCTGCCTGTTGCAGCCGGCTGCTACACTTCTCACCTGAAAAATAAGGAGGATTTGTTGCTGTTGTAAACAGAGAACTGTGCAGAGTACATCCAGCTGTGTTGTGCATGTGTGAAAGTGTAAACTCCTTAGCCAATTCCCTGGATTTTACCCACAGGTCATGTCTGAAAGCAGCTTTACTGTCATGCTCTATCCAGGATCAATTGTATGTATGATTGTCTTATTTCCAGACTCCAACAACTCTGGTGACAATTTGTATACCATGATCAACACTGGACCCGGTAACCGAAATAATGTAAGTGCATTTTCGCATTTTGAATTGAATCATTCTCTGAGAAATTAAAGAAAATGTGGAGAAACATCCTATCTTGAACTACTAAGTGAAAAATTATTCCTGCATCCACACGAAAATTTAATGGGTTCTTCCTTGGGTCATAACCCACCCCTTCATAAAATGTAATGGAAAACTGTTGAGTAGTATTTGTATAATCTGCTAACTGGAAAAAAAAAAAACACATACGAAAACATAGCCTCCTTGGTGGATATAAGTAATAACTCCATAGAAACTGCGCTGCTGGCTTCTTTTGCTCACGTGTTAGGACTGTCCAGCTGTATGTGTGAACTGTGCTGTGGACATGTGATAACTGAGGCCATGACATTTTGTTTCTCCTCCAGTTCCCCATGGGCCCTGGCTCTGACGGACCCCTGGGAGCCATGGCAGGGATGGAACCACACCACATGAACGGATCACTAGGTAACACACCACACACATGCATCCACTGACACAACATAAAAATATTGTAACTTCCTCATGGTCAAGGAATACAAACATTGTTTTTAATGTTATTTCATTCTCAGGTTCTGGTGATATGGATGGAATGAACAAGGTAAATATTTGTCTTTAAAAGTTAATCTGGAAAAAAAGAGCGATCTTCCACATTTGCTAAAATGTTGCTCACCCTTTGTTTCCAGAATTCTCCAAACAATTTAAGTGGCATTAGCAATCCTCCCGGGACTCCAAGGGATGACGGAGAGCTGAGTGGAAACTTCCTCCACTCCTTTCAGAGTGAGAACGTGAGTGTCTTCTCTTCTTCCCTGTTCCTCTCCTCAGCTCTAACACCCCTGAACTGTTGGTGACTGTAGTACTTTGAAGGAGCCAGAGGTGGAGCACTGTTGACCGCACAGTGAAGCCGCAGTCACACTGGATTAACATCACTGACTGCAGCAGCACTGTGGAGAGTAAACTGTGTGTTTGACCAGGGTAAAGATGTTTTAATCCTCCTCTCTGTGCCTCTGCAGTACTCTCCGACCATGACGATGAGCGTGTGACCCCCTCCTCCACCCCAACCCAACATTATTTGCCATCATTCCGAGGATCTGAACTCACTATAGGACACAGCCAAACACAGCAGCACCGAATCAGGGACGGGTGCCACTTTGGTTCCACACTAGACGCCTGAATGCTGATCGGAGAAAACAAAAAGAATCAACAACGGCTGGCAACTTCTGCTCCTTGCTCAAAAATGAAGGACAAATATCTCCCATTTATCACAACCCACCAAGTGTGACAAAACCAGCTACTGAAATGCATTCATGACACGTTTTATGTTCTCCGCAGAGTCCCCGCCCCCTGTAGTCCCCTCAGAGCAAAGAGGAAAAAAATTGTTGAAGTTTACCTCTTGTACTTTTTAATCATTGCTTTGTGGTGCAAGATGTGCAGGAAATATCTCCGCTTTTTGTCACTTAAAAACACTGGAGAGTGTGCATATGCATTGTGTGCTTGGAAAGTCTTTGTCTTGTCATTTTACTTATCGCCATGCGTACTGTGTCACGAACGTCGGTTGACACAGGACTCGAGAATTTGCCTTTTACTCTGTGGCCACCTGTCTGAATTATGTACTACTCTTCCCCGTCACGCCCACTCTTCTATTTAAAGAGATTTTTAAAGGGGGGGAAAGATGTGAACGAAAGAATTACGGCTTTTATTGTGACAACCTTTCATGGTATGAACGTGCTCAGATGGTTCTTACAATGTCAATTTTCAGTCTGTTACTGTTGACGGCGACGCGTCCCTGCACCCTCTGCCGTTTGGTTTTTAAGCGGCCGGGCTGCCGTTTGCGTCCTGTCGAGGGAAACCAGACTTTGGGCATGAGAAGTGAGTGCATGAATGCTGAGAATCTGTGTACAACATACTACCTAGTGCTGCTCTTCTCTATGTGGACACCTGCTTTAAGATGTGGTGTATATCTCTTTACCTGCCTGTGCTTAACGCTCTGTGCTCTTCATCATCGTAGCCTTCTGTGTTCTTTCCCATTTGATTCTGTTGAAAATGGCCATGAACGAGCTGCCCCGTTTAAATCTTAATACGTATTGGTTGTTCATACTCCCTCCCCCCGTATCATTGGTCGTCCCCTCTCCTCCCCTTTCGACCCACACATTTTATTTTTTGATACGATCTTTGACTATGTATATTGCCCCATTTATTCATTTAGTCAAAGCTTTCTAAACTGATTCTAGTAGGCATCATTATAAACTTAGCAGCAGTCTTGTAAATGTGATGAGAAATCTTTTTGTTTCTTTTTTTCTTTTTTTTTTCTCCTCCAGTGAACATTATGCATTATACACATCTGTCCTATGTTGCCTTTATTTGCTGATATTTTTTTATTTCAAATTGAGGAAAGATTGCTTGTTAATATAATTTTACAATAACTTATTTTACTCTGTGGGTTGTTTTTATTTTAACATAACTGCTGGTTATGATGTCATAACCAGTGGTGAAGAAGGTAACCATTTAACTCTACTACTTTTAAAAGTACAAATTAAAAGACAAAAATGTATTCAGGTGAGAGTAAAGTACCACATTCATTTTTCTACTTGAGAGTTAGAGTAAGAAAGTACTTGCTTTAAAATATACTTAAAGTATTAAAAGTACTTGCTGAATGTAGCTTATTCCTTAATGCAACAATCTATGGCTGAGTTGTGGCAGTGGCCTCTTCTTAATCCATTTCAGGTGTTTCTTCTTCACCAGATTCTAATGCTACCTGTCTGCTCTGATTGGATCAGTCATCCACTTCCCCTCACTGATTATTTTTTAAAAACAGTGAGATCGTGTAACATAGTGGTTTGTAAAAATGTAGTTACGTAGAAAGTTTAGAAAAGTGCTGATATGTGGTGGGGTTGAAGTTAAACGCACCAGAAAATCAATCTACCTCAGTACAGTAACAAATAAACACCTCTGGGTTTAACTCAGGTTTAGTGAGGTCTGAACAGTAGCTCTGTCAGGTCCAGCACCATCTCACCCTCCTCTCTTTAACCACAGGAACTACTTAACAGTGATAACTAATAACAGATATATATATACTATGAATGTTAAGAATATAGAATATTAAATTAAGATGACGGTTCACTCTGGGTGTAAACTAGAATACCAATTTAACATTACGATGATAGATGGGACAGCATTTGGATGGCTAAAAATATAAATAACTTGTTACACAATTATATTTACCTATCACAAGTTCACTCTCACGCTAAAGTTAACATACTATACTGTATGTCCATTCTGGATTTTAAAAGACTACTCGTTAATCTGAAGTAATCATAAAATTAAAACTGTGGCGTGACAGTTGCAAAAAAGACCTGGTATGTGTAAAACCAAGAATAGTTCATCTGTAAAAGCGCACAGTACAAATCCAAATATTCCATCTCAATAACAGACCCCTCTTTTTCTGCTATATCTGGATTTTTAATCAATCCCAATCTGTAAACTAACACAAAATGCCATTAATGTAATCCCCCTTAAAACTGTTTGGTCAGATCTAGATAATTAATAGAATAAAATGAAAAAACTATTGTAGATCAGAGAAAAATGGCTTCACATTGCCCTCTGCTGGGCTTCACTAGACCAGGCAAGATGTCGCTACAACATCTCCACTCTCTGAAGACGCGTGAACATCCAGGCCTCGGCTTTACGTAAAAGATGCAGGCGTGAATCTTGACATCAGTGCACAGCTGGGAGGATCTAATGTGACTCTGGTTCCTGTCTAACAATAGGAAATGAGGCTGAGCTGCAGGCTGGCTGCTCTCCACAGGATGTGGCCTGCCTGGGCAGGAGCCAAACCCTCTCTCCAACTTTACATCCACAGTTAATGTTATGAAAGCTGCAGCCTCACAAAACTGCTTTGTTCACTGACAGTTTCAATGAGATATGATCCTGTATGTCTTGTTTGGTTAGTGTTACATGATCCGTTTGTGCTATACATATACATATACATATATATATATATATATATATATATATATATATATATATATATATATATATATATATATATATATATATATATAAAACATTATTTTTTATTTTTTTTAGGTAGTTAGAAGAACGTTGAATCTTTCATTGCAGATTAACAATGTGGTGTTAATGTGTGGAAAAAGCAGCAAAGACAGGAGGAAAGATTATACTCAACCGTAAAGCTTTGACTGTTGCATCAGTTGTGCTTTCTCTTATCAAATCAATCACAAGACGTTTTGTTCTCATTCGCCACTTACACAGAAACTCACATTAGATTAAACGGTTATGTAACGCTGTAGAACAGAGGTTTTTTAAAGTGTAAGGCAGACCTCCTCAGGGAAGCTAGATTCAGGGGAAGCTCTGTGAATGGAAATAGAAAAAAAAGGAGATCACATACAATAACCTGAATATGTGTGATTTGGTTAATATGAGTTCAGATTGAGTCATTTTAAGGGATTTTTAAACTGTTTTTCACATTTTCCCTGAGACAGAAACTATAAAACTTCAGACAGACCTTTTTTTGTTTGGTTCAGTCTAAAGATACGTCAAACAGCAATATGCTTATCTTTTCTATCGTTGAGATCAAATAACATAACTGCATGACTGCATAGGTTTTCAGACATTGAGCCAAACTATGCCAGTAATGTAAGATAGAGAGACAGAGGTGTCACTTTTAAAACCCTCTGCCGTAGAGAATTAAAACAACGTGAGGCAGTTTCACAGTGAGAGACACTTCCCTTCTAAAAACTGTATATAGTCAGACAAAATCAATCCATGTGTTAAGATAAGACAGTTGGGTATTAACACACATCTGGGCCCAAATGCCACACTCTGTACATCTGTTTCTGTGGTGCACTCCATGAACTTGGCACGACAGTCATACAGTACAGCGTGTTTACCATTTATGACATCCAGACCAGACAGCAAACAACAGCCAGATTCTCGTGCTGTGGTGGGCCGCTGCGTGCGTCAACGTTTCAAGCCCTGCAGCCATTTACAATGAAACTAGTTATGTAAACAATGGCTCTCAGTTTAATAATTTACTGTACGGAGCATCATTCATGTACTGAACAGAATTTGATGTGATTTCCATTCAGCTATATCTCCTTGCAGTGGAAGCAGGAGTATGAGAAAAGATGGATTATTTCATAAAATAAGATCATCCATCTTGTTAACTTGCATCTGGATAAAAACACACATTAAGTATAACACACTTTTGGTTATTTGTCGTATATAAATCAGAGACTTGACGAAGGAGTCTTTCCGATGCAACAAGTCTGTAATGAGAAAGCAAATTTATTCAGAGAAAAAGTTGTTAGAGATATTTTCATACATTAAACATGTCCCATCATAAATGCCCCTACATCATTCAGTGAAAACCTACTTTTCAATCATCTTCATCAAATTACAGTTACCAGAGGTTTGCACTGTAATCGTCATGTTAAAGCAGTCTCGTGTTGAATTACATAGGAGCAGTTATAGACGGAGGTAAACCTTAGTGTAAGAGAACTGGATTACCACAGACTTAGGGCCTGGTCACACGTGCACAAATGTACCAGCAGTGAACCTTTGCCTCCCAGTTCAATTCCAATCTGTGCGAGTGAGGATGCAGATAAAACATTCGCTTCCTGTGACGACGCAAATCTCAGCGTAGCCTCATGTGGAGATTTTAACCCACGATTTTCACTTCACATTCGCTTCAGTGTGACCGTGCCCCAAAAATGTTTTTAAACTTTAGAATTAAGACATCTCACATACAAACAAGTATATGTGCACACACAAAAGCTCCTGTACGTTAGGTGAGACATCAAATACAAACTCTGAGTGGACCGTGTCTGTGTTTCACTTCATCTGGTTACAGAGACCAAATGGTTTCATCTGTAACCGTCACTCAGAAACACAGAGGTGAGTTCAGGCTCAGAGGTCTGAAGAGCACAGGAGACAATATTCATGTAAATTTGAAGGGGTTACAACATTTCTGTAAGCGTATTGATTGATTAATGACTTGACTGACTCCATTAACTATCTTCTTAATTCATCTTCTCCAGTAACGAACGCACCTCTAATGGATTGTAGCCCCATGGTCCCATCCCACCCTATAGGAAACACAGAGCGAGGAACAGTAAGTATGAATGTGAGAGAACATGACGACATCAGATAACAGAACATATCTTTGTCATGAATGAATGTGTTTATTCCACGCCACAAATTCCAGTCATGTCTGCACATGTGTCTTTTACTGTTCTTCCACACGCGATAGCGTGAGCAGGCAGACTGCAGGGACAATTACCACCATAATGCTGGTACAACCTCGAATCACATGATTGCATGAGAGGAGCACAGGGTGGAGTGAAACACATTTGCACTGTCACACTATTTGGAAAGTCACTAATATTTAAGTCATGTAGACAAGAAAAGTGTAGGAATCAGTGTTGGTGACAGACGTGCACATGCAGATCTCACCTTGTAGATGACTTTCCCAGCCTGAAGCACATAAAGCCTCTCAGGCAGGGCGCCATACTTTATGGCAGAGACATCATTCATTTCGTCCACCACCACAGGACACAGGGGCTCCTGCTGGACCAGGATCTGTGCTGCGGACAGCCTTTCCTCCAGGCTCCGGTGCTGGTTGATGTCGAAGTTGTTGGTGAAGGCCCAACCATCTGAGACAGAGATTATGTATAAAATATACATAAAGAATATCCTTTATTCCACTGGGATGACAGTGAATGCAGCAAAACACCTGAGGAGCATTTAATAAATCCTGTTTAATGGTTATTGCATAAGTAACCTACATCACAGCCGAGTGTTTTCATTACGGTAAATGCAGCACAGACAAATTGAGTTTATCATAAATTTGTAAAGTTCTGTAATGCTGTGAATTTGATGGAGAGGAAAATCTAGAAAAGGCATGTGTCATCTTCCAAAACGTTCAAGTACGTTTCCATTTCCAAAACATTCCAAAATATTCATTTTCAAAACCTTCTAGCTAATGTAAATTTCCAAAACATTCCAAAATATTCATTTTCAAAACCTTCTAGCTAATGTAAATTTCCAAAACTTTCAAGTAAATGTCATCTTCCAAAATGTTCTGTTATTTTCTAGTTTAGTTTAAAGTACATGAACATTTTCAAAACTTTCAGGTATATTTCTAAAACTTTCACTTGTTTAATTTTGTCTTGGGTGCACTTGCAAGTATTTCAAGGTAGTGCAAATAAATACACTTCTTTACTTTATACTTTGTTGACCTTCACCTCTGAGATGTTGGAGCATTTCTGACTCCCACCACTACATCTCGTGATGATGCGTGACCCTCACCTGTTGAATGAGCCTCTGCGATGTAGACCACCATGAAGTCAGCCACATCGCTGAAGTCCCTGACGAGCTGCTTGAACTCGTCAAGTTTGTAGATGAACGGGGGTCAGGTGCAGCTTCCGAAGCTCAGCACCAGAGGTCTGCTGCCTGCAGAGGAAACACAAACACAGCTTGGCATCTGCGGATCGATCTTTACGAAAGATTAAGAAATGCCAGCGTCAATCTCCACATCGGACCTCTGATGAACTTGCACACGCTGCTCTTCTTTCCCTCCATGGTGACCACAGGTGAGTCCGGAGCTTCAACCCCGACAAACGCCTCCTGGCCCAGGGACAGCCACATGTGCTGGGACGCGGTTTTGATGAAGTCGAAGCTGAGAAAAGTCAGACCCCAGTCCTCGTACCTGAACTTCTGGTTCTGGGTCATGGTGGTCTTCTCGCCCATCCGGAGGATCTGCTTCTTGGAGAGGCTCGGGGAGATAAAGTGCATCACCCTGAGGATGGCGCTGAGTCCCACCATGAAGCACAACATGCCCGCTGTGGAGACATAGACGAGGAGCTTTTGGAGCCACATGTCTGCTGCTCGCTGCTGCAGGAGTCTGTGTTTACTGACCTCTGTGTTATAAAAGCTGCCTCATTGTTTAACACGTCGGTTACCGCCCACTCCCTCCGCGTTCACAGCAGCTGCCTTCAAGGCCGCTCCGCACAGCTCGTACTTTCCAGCGCAGGCGCGGAGGTAGACCAGAAAACTGAGGATGTGATCCGGCTGCATTTACCAATTTTTATTTATTGTATTTGTTTTTATATTTATCTCATTCCAGTTGACCCCTTGTCTGTGTTTTTATTTTTATTTATCTCTTTTCAGTTTTCCTTGTCTGTAGTTAAGTTGCATACATGTCAAAGACACTGGAGTGCATCTGTCTCACTGCCAGAAGTATAAATGTCTAATTGTCCAGATAAGACTCAGTATGGGCCCAGCCAATGGGAGTGGAGGTTGCCTTAGCAACCGATCGTTCCTCGGTGAGTCAGCAAGTTTCCCTGAAAACTGGGTGAAAATTCAAACTTTACTTTTTCACTTTCATGTTTAATTTTTATTTGAAGTTCATGAATTATTAGAAAATAATTTCCAGAATCATTAAAAAACCATTTGTATTAAAAAATATTCACTTCACTAAATGATACCATTTTTTTTTAACCCTTTCCCTAAATTGCTATTTTTCCCTCATCAAAGATGGCGGCTCAGGTGCCTGTCTCGGAAACGGGGGATGGGTGTAAAGTCTGTAGTTTGTCAGTGCTCGGAATGTTTACTCACAGGTGGATTGTGGAAACACCTGCGGGACACCGACATGTGATTTTAAACATCCTTGTTTGGTTTTCAAACATCTCTGGTCAGTCATCCTCCACACTCCCACCCGCACCTGGACACGTGTTTACAGACTGTTTAGCTAGCTGACTAAAGAGTGTTAGCTAGCTTAGCTTTAAATGTTTCATCGGCACTTATTGAATGTAGCTGCCAGGTGATTTAAAGAGGAATAGAATCTGTCACTTGTACTGCAGGACTGGGATTAATGATGTGTGTATTTACAAACAGAAACTTGTGAACGTGCTGTTTTGGGGCAGCTACTCCTGCGTCATCATGGTCCACCGTCGTGTACTGAATATATTCTGCTAGCTGAAAGTCACGTTCTCAGATAAACTCACTTTATTAGGGACTACATGGAGACTCTGCAAGGCCTCTCTTTGCTCTCAAAAAACTCTCATTATTATTATTGATTCCAAGATGGGGAAAGGAAACATCTAAGAAGACCTAAAGGAACATATAAAATGATTCGACTTTAATGTGTTATATAAATTGCTTTAACTTTTTGAAGTATGTGAAATACAAGAAATTGCTGCTCCGAGCGCTTATATAAAAGTTGATTATACTTATAAAATAACAGGCCTGTATATGACAGACGTCATGATGGTAGATTTACCAAACTCGTGCAGCCAGTCTTTTATTTGTCAGTTCCCCGTCAGTTGTTGTTGTTATATAATCAGTTAAACCAGTTCAACAGCCAGAAGAAACAACAATACTTTGATATCAGTCAAATATCATGTGCAGGTTTATTCACAAATCACCATAATTGACCTGAAATTAAAGTCACATTTTAATTAAATCTCAGGACATTTAAACAGTCTTAGTTTGAGCAATTTGTAATACAAATAATGAAGGTCTGGACAAAATTTCACTGTGAGTCAACACAGCCTTTGTACTTACATATCACATGTGTGTGTGTATGTACAAACATCACATTGCAACCCATACACATATATATAGCATATATATATATATTATTATTACACTTTAAACAGTCTGCCCTACAGTACCTGTTTGGTAATGAAGGGCCCACCTTGCATTAGTTACAATGATGACTATGACAAGTTTTTCGAGTACAATTCTCATGGCAACACAAAAGCTCTGCACTCTGACATTGTGAACTACAACAAACGCCAGTGGTGGATGAGACAACTACCTGTTGTTTCATGGCTTTGTAGCACAACTTGTTCATGACAACAAGGTACAAAACATGTATGCATTTATCAAGGTTAACCATGTTGTGGCATTATAAAGTAATTTACAACAACTTTAAAATGTGTTTTTTCCCCGTGCACAACTGATGAAAACTGAAAGATTTAGTGTTTAAGATTTAGGTAAACGGATCTATTGGCAGAAATTTCATATAAAATAATCCTAGTGATTTTTTCACGGGTGTGTTTCATCTAAAACGTAGTAATTGTTGTTTTCTGTAGCCTAGAAAGGGCCCTTTATATTTAGATATTTTATATTGACATCAGGAGCAGGTTTTTTACAGTAGCCCAAACTGGACAAACTAAACACTTGAGTTTTTATGACTCTTGAATGTTTCCACAGGTTCTCTGTCATGTTGGAAGGGGAGGGTGAGGTGAGGGGTGTTCAGCTGCAACATGTAACTTCACCACAATTCTACTGACTGTGACCCAGTTGGTATTTTCACTTCCACTCAGTTACCACAAGATGGCGTTGCAGAATAGCATTTCCCAATATAATTTCAAAGCAGGTTCAGCCTCGCAGCAAAGAACAATTTAAATCGGGGTCTAAATTGAGAGGACTTTGAGTTATATTTTTATTTAATAATTTGAGAAATGTTAAACTACTCCTAATCCAGTGATTCAATTTTTTCATCAATTGATTTTAAATCGAATCTTCTTCACGTTATTTCTGTTTTGTCCTCCTTATAAATGTAGTTAAAATGTAATATTAGAAAAACAACATCATAGATACAAATAGGATAGTTATACATGAATCCACGTGTTAGGCCCTTTCATGTTTTCAGGAAGGATGAGTGGAATATATCAGAAGGAAATATGGAATATTAAATTTAAAAAGAAGTCACATCTTTTATAATTCAGTCTAAAAGAAACCCATCTCCTGCTTTTATCCAGGACATAATGTATTTTAAAAGAAAGTCAGGTATTGTCATGACTCCTAGCATTTTCCTTTCTGCATCTACAGTATGCATGATAACAGTGGAATTAAGTGTTGTTTCACGATATAGATAGATTACTTTATTCATCCCCAAAGGGAAATTAGGTTATATATTGCAGTGTTATGGTGTAAGGGTCTTAATATAATATAATAGAGGATTGTGTGATAACACTGGATGTACAGATTTTACTCTGTTGTTGCTTAGTAGGGCTGGATGACATGGCAAGATATTATATTGAGATCCAAATGTGCACCTTAGTCGATCTGGATTGTCGATGAAAATTAAACAAATCTGAGGAACAACAATAATGTGTTATACCTTCTTACTGTGCTTATAAGCAATATATCAATATATACTTGACTTTTGTTATATTGCTATCAATGAAAACTGCATTGCAATAAAAATAATAAAAACATAATTTATATAGCACCTCATGTTATAAAGTCACAGATGGGACAAATGAGAACAGGAACAGAAAACATCAAAGACGAGAAACATTTTATTACAGTGTCATTAACAATCAAAGATAAAATAATAACAAAATAAAATAATAACATAATTTTAAAGGAATGGCAAAATGGATAAAAGAAACATAAGCAAGAGTAAAATGTTTGTTTTATTGCCCAGCCCCAAGAGTCTGTTATACATTTGTTTACATGCAGCTTTAGTTTGAACAGTTGGCAGGTCAGTGAAACATGGTGCATTATGGTTGAGAGCACACAGGGTCACATGCGCACATGGAGCAGGATCTCACAAACTTTACATCCAAGCTCAGATTTACGACAACACACACAGCCGCCTCGATCCAGATGTTATCCTCCCGAGAGAGAAAGAGGAGGAGGAGAGAGAGAGTGAGAGTGAGAGAGAGAGAGAGAGAGAGAGAGAGAGAGATGCTGATGATTGATCCTCACTGAGAGAGGATGCTGTCGGTGCTGCGTGCAGATGCGTCCCCCTCCTGTTTGCGCAACATGCAAATGCGCGCAATCAGCCCTGCTCTTTTCCTCATAGGCGTATCTGACCAGGTAGGTGTTACCAAAACATCTGGAGCTCCACTGCTCTCTCCAGATGTGATGGTTCTTCCTGCATCAAATGAGCGCTGCACGTTTGCACAAAAACCGCGAGTGTGTGTGTGTGAGTCCGGTTTTTTGATTGGTGTCCTCCCTCTCATGCATGCGCGCAGGTAATGTGAAGCCGCAGCACTCCACTGCATGGGAACGCCAGCGAGTCATCGATGCAGAACTCCTCAGCGCTGTTCGGGATGGTCAGCCACTGTCAGGCGCCGGCGTTCGCGGACTTCCCCGGCGTGGCGCTGTCCACGTACGGCGGAAAGGCGGACGTGTGTGCGCGGCGCGGCGGCAGCGGCGCGTTCGCAGCGCAGATCTGCCGCAGCCCCCAGACCCACGACGGCCCGGCGGCTCTCATGAACTGCTCCAGTCCGAAGAGACTCAGCGGGTCCGAGCAGAAAGCGCATCTGTCGGCCAAAACTCCGCGATCGTGCTTCTCTCTCCCGCCCATGCAAGGTAGGTGAACCGTGGAGGTGTTGAGCTGATGCTGCAGAGGTGATCAATATAGAGTTTATTTACCATTAATAACATTTTACACAGTCGTTTTAATGCTTTCATTGGAACACACCACAAGGATCACACTGGGTCAAACAGCTGCTCTCTCAGTTTTCCAATCCAATCAATACTTGTTGATATTGATAAAAACAATCTTCAATCATGCTTCCTCCATATGGATCCTCTGTATAGAGCATCATCTGTTTTATGCAGCTCTGTTTAGCATAGTTTAGTTGAGAGCCCTGTTTGCAGTTGTGGATTAGGGCTGCTAATTAAACCCAGAGCTCACTTGGATCCTATGCCAGTTCATAAATAACTCCATAATCAAAGTGTGTGTTGCACATCAAGGGCATGTGAAGTGATGTGCAGTGTGTGCACTAACTGCCAAGCAAGCAGTGCAACTCCTGCGGATGTTAACAAGGCATGGCTGCATTTTAATTCACGGGGGGATTAGTGAAAAGGTTACTCATAAAAAGTGAGGGTCCGTGGCATCTTCAAGCCTTAAACAGGTTGGAACAGTCCTTTAATGAATGAATGAATGAATTGGGATTTGCTTCTCTCATTTAGTTTGTAATTTTTCATCACAAGAAAGTGAAAAAGTGTTTTTTTTATTTTCACGTCTTCCTCTGCCTCTGAAAAAATCAAATAAACTCTGACGTCTGCTCATCAGTGAAAGCGAAAACTATAAAACAACAATCACACAGATGAGATGAGCACTGTCATACAGATAAAGCATCCTGTGTGTGTGTGTGTGGAAGAGCTGCTCCATCCTGTTTAGACAGAGTGTTGTTGTGAGAGGGCGGAGGTAATTACAGCCCCATCCTAAATTATGATTAGACGGAACAGACTTTTATATTAGCAATCATCCTTGCAGCAAGAAGAGGATCAACGGATTTGATTATTGTTTCTTCTTGCTAAACACAAACCATATGTCTTGCCGAATGTGTCTCAGCATTTATGAGTTCTCTGAGAGCACAGTTGTGCCCTCGCTCAGCTTTCCATCCCCAGCATCCCCGCACCAGAATGAATCGTCTCATTGTCTCCGCAGCGCTTTTGAACTCGCTTCCCGTAAATTGTGGGAATGCAAGATGTGTTGTGTGTTTGTGGATTATGTTGTGCAGATAAACGCTGGAGCAGACGCACACACATGCCCGTTTGTTTTTTGCTCTAACTCAGTGAGACAGTTGAGTGATATTTCAATAATTTCAATATCTTTGCGGGTTCATGAATTAAAATAGTTTTCAGACCTTTCCAAAAAGAACCCCCCTCCCCCCCCCACACTATTTCCTGAAGCACATATTCATTCAGCAACGCATCAAAATGTGTTGCATGACTTGACACTTATACATTTTCATATTTTTCGCCCTTATATTGGATTAATAAAACATTTACTCAATTTAACCTGTACTCCTAATGTTGCTGTCTCTCTATAGGAATATAATCCGACTTTTAAATATTGTTTTAAAGCCTCTTTCTGTGAGCAGGGAGTATGAAAGCGATCTCAGTGCTCATCAGTCTTTTTGTATCATGCCTCATTTCAGACTGATCGTATTACATGCTCCCATTAAGGGATGTTTTCAGCCATTACTTGAGATTTATACGGAAAAGAATCTCTGAACAAACACAGGCTGTAATATTTATCCTGATGGAAGTGAGACAGCGGGGAGAAGAACTTGCCTCAGATGGGAGATTTCTGACCTTGAATGTGTAGCCTACACTGTGATTGCAAAATTTCAACAATTACTCAGTGATGTAAGTGATAAAATGTAATGTTTCATCTTATACTCAGTTTTATTATTTGTTTTAGCTACACAGTCATTCTCTGCTCATAAAGAAGAGTTTAAAACCAGAACCTGCACTCAGGAGCAAAAAAAAGGTCTTTAACGTTAAGAAATAACGTTCACCATGAAAATGATCAATTATCAATATAGACTGATCATTTTTGGCCACATGGCTCGGCATCATAGACACAGGACTGAAGTCAGCTTTTGTTTATTTATTCCCCAAAAATGCAAATCTATGCTGTGATTTTTGATTTGTTGAAGTGAATAGTGACACAGGTAGGGTTTTAACAAAAAAAATGAGTACATTGCAGACTGTAAGTTGAAGCGCCGTCATGTATTGTGGTTCAGATTTTTTCTATTTTAGTTGTGTCTGTTTTTATACATCAAATATCCTAAATGAAACAATTAGCTACAACATTTGGTAAAAAAAAAAAATCCTCATACATAGCATTCTTGTTGCTGCACCTCTGCATTTTAAAAACTGCTCCAAGCTTAATTTCAAGGAAAATTGTTCGTTTTTTTTTTTTGCATTGTGTTGAATGACGCTCAAATCACTGCAGTGACCAGTTCGGGAGGCTTTGTATATGTGTGTGTGTGTGTGTGTGTGTGTGTGTGTGTGTGTGTGTGTGTGTGTGTGTGTTGCTCTTGAATGGAGAAGTGGCTGATCATCCAAAACACTGCAAGTCTATAAAACGTGCTATAAATATTAGTGCCCACCAGAAAAGAAAATATTTAGCCTGCAAAGGAAAACACTTTGACCCCTCTTGCAAAGAGAATATCAGGTTTGAATGAAGTGTGTACTCTAGCATCATTTGATACCTTACTAAAGTTTCTCCTGGCCGGTGCGATGCTGCCGATGTCGGGGAGCTTATTTGGGGAAAATGTTTGAGTTAGAGGAGTGTGCCGGAGTCTCACAGTCCGTCTCTTAGATAAATGTCTGTCTGTTTATTCAGCCTGAGATGAGTAATGAACGTTTGGATTTGATCATTGTCGGAGCTTTTTATTTTTCTGTGCGGCGTGTGTTCTATAAGTCTTCATATACAGTCTTTATACATACACCTGTATGCACGGACACAAACCCACCAGCATCCATCCCTAATACATGCAGACACTGTGCCAACATATGCTCAACACATGCACACTATGCCACACACACATACAGTATGCATATACACTCACACTTTTTTGTGGCATTGGCACCGATGTTGAATTCCCTCTAACTGACATTTCCCTGTGTTTTTCTGCAGCAGTGTTCATAGACGTCAGAGTACAGGGTGATAACCAGACTATTATGAGAAACAAGCGACCGTTACATCTCACTTTGAGCCTGTCAAACACTTAATGACAGATTCCCAGTGGCCCAGTGAATAATTCTGGTTGTGAGTGCACAGAGGAAACACATTAAGAGTGTTTTGTAAAGCCTGTTATTCGAATCAAACTGTGCATTAGTTATTATTTTTATTTTCAATAGAAAGAACAGTGGGCAGTTACAATTTACCTGAAGAAAAAAAACTGCATGATATCGATTTCACTGTCACTTAGAAAGCACAGAAATATTTCTCTTAAATGAATAATACAGAAGAGAAGTTGATCCTAGAGTTTAATCTGAAAATACGTATCATTATAATTGCATAAAAACATATTATTCTCATTAAAGCCACCAAAAACATGGTGCTCAGTCTAATTCATAAGGGAGCTGGTGTACACATTTAAAATATCAGTTTGTCCCAGTGTCTTTTTTGGATACTTTTCCGCTAAATAAATCTTAAGACTCATGTCACGTTAAATGTTTATACAGCTGTAATTCTGGGAAAATGTTTGCTTCATGGAGTTTTGAGTTTCTTAAATTGCCTCGGACTTTAGCCTTATAATTGTTTTACGTCCGGCTCTTGATGCATGCACAAGATCATTTTGTTTATTCGTCTTGGATTTCAGTAATGTTCTCGGTTTAGACTTGTGTCACTGTGACATTATTATACCAATTTGACTGAATCGGGGCTGTGACAGGAGGCTGTATAAATCAAAGTCTCCAGGGTTTCTTTTGTGGCGGCTCAATGGTTTTGTGGTTTTGTTGCTTATTGTTAAAAAGACCAAAGAGATGGTATTGGATCCTAAATCTTTGGAAAATAAATCCCTAATGGAGGGATTGATCAACAGGGGGAAATGATTGTGCAAGTGACAGAGCAAATATTTTGGTGAGAGTTCTGACCGCAGTTTAGAATAAGGATTCCATGTTTGATTTTTATGCTCTTGAGTCAGTCAAAGTTTCAACGTCATACGCAGCTGTTGAACAGTTCAAAAGCTGTGTGGATTAAATAACACCAATATAATCATACTCTTTTACACAGCGACTACTGGATCAGTCATTTGCTATGGTTCATGGCAATCTAACTGTGAAATTCAAGTTTCCAGGAGTTCACATTGTGATAGGAACAGCAGGTCTTTTGCCTCTAATATCTTTACAGGAGCTATTTGGAGATTAAGGTGTTAATATGGCTGACTCCAACCATGTCTTTGATGTACAGCAAGGTTTAGATTTCCATAAAGCTTACATTTTCTTAAGTGCAACAGTAAAAATGGTGTTAATAATCTTGTGTGTGTATCGAATGGATATTTAAACTTATTTTTCAACTATGGCACTCAGTGGAGCAGATACCTCTGTCAAGGCCTGACAGTGTTCTTAGGCTGTACCAGTTTTCACACACTCATAGATATCAGTCATGTGCCTGATTTTCATCAAGATCCACAAACTATTCCTTGAGACATTGGTAAAAAAGTTTTAAAAAACGCTAAATTTAGCTATGTCAAAGAAAGTGTAAAAAAAAATCCTGGATCCTCCCCCGATTTGGATCCAGACCCAAATGTGAATGTGTTCTTCTCTGACCCATATTGCATCCTTGTACCAAGTTTCATCAAAATCTGTCGAGCAGTTTTTGCTTAATCCTACTAAATATCAAACAAACCCAGATTAAAACCTTATCACCTCGGTGGAGGCATATCTACTGTAACAAGGCTGAAAATGAATCATGGCTTATAATTCAAAGCATAGGCTTCACACTCAACTGAAAATGTTGGTTTTGTGCCATACGGACATTCTTGATTGTCCATAAAATAATTATATAAAAGCAATATAATCGATCTTCACTAATTTTAAACACATTTATTTTGCTTTACGGA